ACGCTTTTGTTGTCAATTTTTGGGACTCAGCAAGTCCTCTTTGTAATTTTTTCTCACAGTTGCAAGCTACAATTCAATTACATATGGGAATTTACAGAAGATCAGCAAACCCAATGCCAAATGCGAAGATCCTGATGAAACTCAGCCTCTTCCAAGCTGTAATGAGCACGTGAGTATTCCTAGTGATGAACTTCACTTGCATGGGTGCATGGAGACATCCTTGTGCTATGGGGAGTTAGTGTGTAAGAAGCTGGGAAGACTTTGTCCATTCCAGGGCAAATAGATTATTCTTTCTTTCTTGAACAACTGTTGCTGTTCAGAACACAACGCTTTTTATGACAAGACAGGAAGTGACTAGAAGCTCAGGTGCTTACGAATCTGTTAAATACTATTACTCTTCCTCCTCAGCGCGATGAGTGTGAGAGGTTGCTGACTTCCTCTGCATTTGCTGATTGTTGGTTACGTCTCAATTTGGAAACGTACATCCAAGCCTGCATGCAGGACAAGTGTTCATGTAATAGAAATGAGGACTCCTTCTGCCTCTGCAGCACCATCTCTGAGTATTCTCGTCAGTGTTCACATGCAGGTGGCCATCCAGGAGAATGGAGGACACAGTACTTTTGCCGTAAGCAGCTATATAAATTTTGCAAAGAAATAAACGTTTCATGGATGTAGCCGTGTGAAAAATTTAAATTCATTCCTTCTTTCCAAAACTATAGGCATATATTATAGATTTCATATCAGTAGTGCAATAAACTACATACTCTGTTCTTCTTGTTTTCTTCTGTTACCCTTATTATTAAGAAATCTTTTTCAGCAAGTAGAAATTCTGTTCCCAGTAAAAAACTGTGAGGTCTGATGCTACAGATGAGATGTCTGGGATAATTTGATCTATTCAAGAACAAAAGAAGAAAACAGAAAAAGCAGGGAAAGCAGTTCAGAAACAGATGATTTCCCAGATGGAGTCTGGCTTGTCACACCACTGACTTGAGGGGAGTAGGGGATATGATCTATGGTTTCTGAGGAAGGATGGACTTCACACTCAGATAACTGGTGGTGTCTTTCTCACCCTTTCAGCCAAGACCTGTCCTCATACCATGATCTACAAAGAAAGCAGCTCACCCTGCATGGATACTTGCTCACACTTGGAAATCAGCAGCCTTTGTGAGGAACACTACATGGATGGTTGTTTCTGCCCTGAAGGCAAGTGTTATTCTAATTATTCTATATGGAGCAAAACCAAGAGATCTGGCAAAGGAGGTCATAGCTAAAATATTAAATGTAGTCAAAGTACATCTTAAAAATTAGTACTGCTGCTCATTATTTCCCCTCCTAGAAGAACATAATTACAAGGTTTTTAAAAAAGGAGGTCATAATTGATTAATTAATCAATGACTTCATAGTTAAATCATTGGTAATAAATCTGCTTTTTAGTTCTCAACTAATGGACTTCTGCTAATATAGATAAAATCATGCTTTTTAGATTGAACACTTCTGAGACAATGGACATCATTTGCCCAGAGAGTGATAATGAGGGACAGTCAGTGACATTCTCAGACTTACTGTCAAACTTAGGAAAAAAAATTACGGTGATAGTCTACAGAGTATGTCAGAAAGACTGAAAATCTGAACACATAAAATTCTGAGATTGTTCTTCTATAAATATATTAAAATTTTAATCTGTGAATAGTTATATAAATGGTAGCCTTAGATTTTCAAAGATGGTTAAAAGTGTTTTCCATGTGTTTTATACTACAAAAAGTAAAAACCTTATTCTTCACAGTTTTGATAATCTCAGTCTCTGCTTTCCGTGTCATGTTGATAGCATGCTTCCTCTGAGAGCTTCTGCTCTGTGGAAACTGCTTCTTTCAGAAAGAACTGGAATAGTTTTCTCTTCTGCTTTACAGGAACTGTGTATGATGATATTACTGAAAAAGGCTGCATACCTGCTAGCCAGTGCCACTGCAAGCTCCATGGAGAGGAATATTCACCTGGAGAAAGCATCACCAACGAATGTGAAGAATGGTAAGGATCATGGTTGTTTATACACCTCTCTTTGAGTGGTTGTAAATGGATATATGTTTTTCAATCTTAGTCATAGGACACTTCCTGAAAACATTCTGAACTTAATGTTTATGTTGCATGTCTATACAGCCAGTTTTCTGAAAAGTTTTCTTGTATCTACAGCATATGGCAGAGGGGAAATCTTAAGGAAATGGTCAAAGATAGAGTTTTAAAACACCTGGGGATATCTTGCTGTTCACTAGGTATACAGATGCTTTCAGTGCTCTCAGCTCTGCTAATATCTACAAGCATTTTTTTATTATTTGTCTGTTTATAGCACCTGCAATTCAGGCAGATGGACATGTAAAGATTTACCCTGTCCAGGCACATGTTCAGTGGAAGGAGGTTCCCATATTACCACCTTTGATGGGAAGAAATACACCTTCCATGGAGACTGTTACTATGTGTTGGCAAAGGTACTTGTGTAGTGTAGGGCTTTTCTCTTTTCTCTTTTCAAGTAAATACAAGTGTCTGTGCACTGATATGTATCAGCTGTGAATTGTGATTTTATTCCATTTTTATGGGATGAGGGAAGCAGAAATGTTAAAAGCTGTACTGGAAAATTCAAGGTGGGTTGTAATAGCCCTAGGAGGGAGTTGGGGACTTACTGCCGTGGGTGGTTAACTTAGTCAGATAGTAGACTACGTATGCTGTCATTATCCGGTGGACTCCTTCATGTATAAGGAATCAAAGGATCACTCTGGCTGCATGGATAGGTAGACTGCAAAAATTGGCAGTTCTTAGGATTAGAAGCTCCCAGCCAGATCTGTAATGGTTGTTTGTGTCCGAGTGTCAAAGTCAGCTAGGGAAAGGAGGTAGGCAGCTATTTTATTCATCTGTTCCTACAATAGCTGGTGCCTGTTCTTCTAGAGAATGACGAAGATCTTGTTGAACTAGAAACCATGCCACTGAATTTGTTTGAAAGACAGTTCAGCTTTCAGAGCCAGTGCTGAAATGGTGGTCTTAATAGCTAAGTTCTATAGTAATTGTTATTCTAACTGATCACTTTAGTCTTTGTTTTGGAAATCATCTTGTGAGAATTTTGATTGGACTAATGGACATTTATTTCCCTGTAATTGTAGGGTACTGTAAATGACAGTCATGCTCTCCTGGCAGAGCTGTCTCCCTGTGGCTCCACAGACAGGCAGACCTGTTTGAAGACTGTTGTGCTGTTAGTAGATCACAAAAAAAATGTAAGTACTCTGTGGGTTCTGCTAGATACGTTGAAAATTAGCATATTTCCCTTACTGAGGAGCAATAACTAGTTCTTCTGGAGTTGCTATTGTGGATAGCTAGGGCACCTCAGACAGGCTGAAAAACAACTCAGGCTTCTGCCTTGAGAACTCAAAACAGACCTAAGCTGAACAAAAGATGAGATTCAAATAAGCTGGTATTTTCCTCTCTTCCGTTCTCTGCTCTCTGCTGTATGATTATTCTTGCTG